GCCCGGTGCGTGCGACCGTGCCGGTAGCCCAGCCAGCGACCGACCGCCGGCCGGTCCAGACCGGTTACTTGAGCAGTTCAGGAATCAGTGACCCGGTCCGAGTTCAGTCAGTTCAGTATTTCAGTTAAAGTTTTCAGTTTAGTTATGTTCAGTTATGTTCAGTCATATATAGTCAGTTCAGTTCAGTATTTCAGTTAAATTTTCAGTCCAGTCAGTTCAGTATACCAGTACCAGTTCAGTCAAGTTTTCTTGTTAGTCAAGTTAAACCCCGAGATTCTTCCAGTTAAATATTTAGTTCAAGTCGAGCATCTTATCAGTTATTTTCAGTCAATCTAAGCATAGTACTTAGTATTTGTTTATTTATATATTTTTACAGTTTGATCAGCAGCAACACTTACACATTTTCAAACCAGTAGTTCAGGTGGGGACTCAGACTAAGTATTACATTGAGTATAATTACAGTTATCATGTTCAAGGTATGTATATTCAGTTTGTAACACCCCACTTTGATTTTACAGAAATTTCAGACTTTCTAAAAATCAGTATAAAATTTTCGAGATCATTTTCGAAATTCAATGGGTGTTAAACAACATTTTTCGTAACCCAAGTCTTATCTGGGCCCACGGTGATTCATTACCCGGTTTTCACAAATGGTTTTCATTAACTAAAACATAATACAAGACATAATTCTCAAACATGAACGTTTAAACCAAACCATCATACCCAATCATCAGGGTTCCCCAAGTTTTCCAAAAACAAACAAGTCATAAGTTTCGGAAAAAGGTTTAAACAAGTCTCAACATAAAGGTCCATAAAAGCCTTATTTATTCTACTGAAGCAATAAATGCATAAATAAACGACCGACCCACTCGCCCCTTCTCGTCACCCTGCTCCTGCTTAACCTGCATCGGTGAAGAGCAGGTGGGGATGAGCACAAGATGAAAAGCGTGCTCACCACTATGCACATATATCACAACATAAATAATGAAGAGAAGGTATGGTTAGAGTATGAACATAAAACAATTATTTTGTCACGTCTCCTAATCACATCATAACATAATACCCACGTGTACACATCTTTCATTAGCCAAGGAAAGGGGATTAATTACCCTAACTCATGGGGGTATGTGCCATACGACAAGGCACGACCTTTCATTATGTCTTACAGAGACTTACCTCGCAAGGTAACCGTATTACATCGATGGGGACAACCGTACCGACGGCCGAATCGGCTCACGCCGATAGGCTACATGGTTTACGTACATACTAAAATCATACCAAGGCAACATTATGATAAACACGTATGGAATAACAAATTTTAGATTAAAACCCACCTGGTATAGTAAAGGAAAATGGCACACAATCGGGTGTAGGCAGCGAGCACGGCTCATCAAACACCTACAACAATTATTATACTAAGATCAACACCTATTCGACCTTAGAGAACAAAAACAAGCATACATTGGTCGAACTTGATTCAACCAAGTAGTTCGTGAAGTTCTGTGGACATTGGAACACTCGGACCTAACACTTAGACTTGACCAAAAATGCATATAAACACCACACATAGGCTAGCACGCAAAACAAGGTCAAACGGGTCAAAGACACACACAAGGGTTCGGGAAAATATAAAGAAGTCTTGGGACGGGCCCCGGGCTGCTCGCTGGCACGATCGGGGCACGGCTGGGCACTGTTGGGATGCGCACGGGCGCTGTCGGGACACTGGCTGCGGCGCT